TTGGAAAAAGAGGGAAGCAATCACCTTTTCCGGTATTATCCAACCAGTAAAAAACGTGTTTTCGTTTGCAGTTTTCTTCAACAAAAATGTGTTGGGTGATTTCTGGTTTTTTCTACATCAGACTCCCTCTGTCTCTTGTAAACAGCACTTATACTAAGGTAAACCCGGATAAGATTTTGATCCATGTCACAAAACTTTCTAAACTGATTGCACCTTAAAACGTTTTTAAACAAGCAAGTTTTAATTTTTTATGTTCATGTTTTAAACAAGCATTTAATTGCTTCTTATATTAATACATTGTTACCTGATCTATTTGTAAAGCAGATAGGTAACAGAGTCAAGGGAGGAATTTTCTGTTATTCGTACATGTCAGTCAAAATATATAATAAATACATATAATAAGGATGTAAGAAATGTTGAGGTGTTCACTATAACATGATATGGAAGCAACTTTTATTGACTCTGACAATAATTTCACTGCCTTTGTAGGAATGTTTGCTTTGGCAAGGAGGGCAAGGGTTAGCCTTTATAGGGAGACTTGTGTATCATACCTGGATAATGTTCAGTCATGTAAAACTGGATTGATATCAAGAGCAGTAATGGTGAGCACAGCAGAGTTGCCAATTTGGTGCCCAAAGTTAGGGAAAGTCTGATGGGAAGTCTGAAGGCATCAATGGAAAGTTTCCCATGGACAAAACCAGCTTTGGAGCAGGCACAGGGTGCAACAGAGTTTCCCATCTAAAATCTTCTTCACCCTGGAGTTGCCTGAAAGAAGGGATGAGCTCCCAGAGAGGAGGAAGAGGTGGTCCATGAAGGAAGGGCAGGTTTGTCCTCTGTGGCTGGGGGTTCTGCCCACTCATCGGGACTGCACCAGGGCAGCACACTGGCCCATGCCTCTGCAAATGGGACCATGCAGGCATGGTGATCACTAGACAAGCAAAGAAGAAACATAGCCCAATGGAACTGGAAATTGCTCTTCTGCAGCCTCCAGGTTCATGGCCAGTGGACACTGGGGCAGACCTAGAGATACTCCAAGTCAAAACCAGTCAAAACCAGTCCTTATCTAACCCTGTGCTGGAATTTTAAATTTAAACAAGAAAAATGCCATGAGGAGGGCTTGTGTGCCATCCACAGCAACTTTGCTGTGGCTCATAAACAAGGCTGACCTTTGGTTTGCCAGCTTTTAATAAGCCAGTAGATATTTGGCAGGTCTCTTGCTAAAATGTACTAGAAAGTTGGATCAAGTCTCAGCGTGAATATCAAGAATCCACTATACAAGCAGTGAGCATAGCAAATTGTCAAGTCAGCAACTAATGTACTTCACTATAATCTTCCCAAATGTCTTAAGTAGTTTGGCAAATCTCTTGTTGTAATAAATTCTAGTGAAGTTTGGGGGTTTATTTTTTTTAACATATGGCCTTAAAAAGTAACTTAGCCAGGAGTATTTTTAGAGTCACTGCAGAATTTGCTGGAGATGTTGTATCAAAACTTGTTTGCACTCAGGCAGTTTTATTCAAATGTCAACCAGATGCAGAAAGTGTGGGGTTTTGGGTTTTATTTTACAGTCCTGGAAAGTAAAGGTCAAGTCTCTGCAACATAAATTGTCTTTTTGATTGCCACATTTAAGCGGAACAGCAAGAAGTCTTACTAATAAATTGTTTTGTGGTGGGTTCCCCCACCCCACCACCCCCCCGGATGCCCTATAATCAGATGCAAAATATTTAAAATGCCAATAAGACACCTGCAAAGTCAAATAAGTTGGATAGGCTATGCTGTGCTTAGCCATACAAATTCAATCATATAACCATAACTAGCCAGATTGCGTTCTCATTTACTATGTAGCACTGCAGTCTCTGAGTAGCTTTACTGAAACTAACAGGATGACTTGAGGTATTAGTCAGCATGAAAAATAGCATCAGAATCTGGCAATATATCAGTTAAAATAAGCCAGACACACTCAGGCCATATCGATACATGCAGGTATCTAGGCCATGCTAAAGGCTTCTTGTTATACTCCTGCTAGCAAGAAAGTTTGTAGAACCATTTATGGAGTACGATACTGCATCATGCCAATACAAGTATCAGACTGTGGCTCACTGTGGGTCCACTATGGAGTATGCAGATGCCTGAAGTGGCAGAGGTGAAAGAGGTGACTGGGATCTGCTTAGCACTCACACTATGTCAGAATGAATGTGAGAGAGCTTGGCTCTCTGAAAACTGCAGAAAACACAGTGTAGTACATCCCCACCTGTGACATTTCCACTGAAGCTCTCTGAAGGATTTTGCCATTTACCCTTCTGAGAACTTGCCCTGAAAATCAGATGAGTCTCTGCTGTAATTCCATGGACCAGGAGATCTGTTCATGTGGCATGCAGAAATGTGCAGGTGCTGTGAATTCCAACTCGCTTGGTTCTTGGCTATCAGTCGAGGAAACAGGAAAGCAAGGGATGAACTCCCAATACAGCAGGGTCCCATACTTAAAAAGGAAGCATTTATGGGTGCAGGGCCCCCTTCCAGAAGATTTTAGGTGATGTTTGAGGTGGAAGAGATTTCTGCAGCTGTACAAATAAAAGATGACTCTATCTGGGGGGTTGTTTTTTCTTCATTTTCACCTAGTACTTCTGCATATCTTCTGATTTGCTCTGTTGAGGCTAGGTTCAGACACAGGACTGGAAGAAACAAAAGTACATAGAGTACAGAGATAGAAACATATCTTTAGGGCTTTGGAAGTACAATCCTTGCAGTGGAAGTATTTTAAATACCCCAAACAACCTCACAAAATTTTTGATACCTGGGGAATTTTCCAGTACACCGCATTTGGTGCATACATCAATCCTACCAAGTCTTTTGGAGTATGGCCCCATGCCAGCCTTTGTCTCTTTGTCTCAGCTGCCATCAATGGAACCTCCAGCTCCCCTCAGAATCAGCATAAATTGAGGGATGACATCAGAGCTACCTTGTGAAGGGATGGCATTGCCACCACAGGAGAGAAGCTGATGCCCTGGCTGGACACAGCACCTCTGTGCTAAGGGACATTTATCAGCATCCCATTTGCTACTTCTCTTGCCCTGCTTTTGGTGCACTCTTAGTTGCAGTGGTTTTGCAAACACTCTCGCTGGGCAGAGATGCCTGTGCCCCATCTTGTGAACTTGTCCTATAGCAGAAGGGAGAAGGACTGTTTTGTTCAGACTTACATCTGTGAAGGGGAACACATGAACTGTAACTGCTTCAAATTCGTTTCCTCTCACAAGTGCACCTGCTCAGTGACTGGCTTGAATTTGACTCTTGGACTAGATACCCTGATCACATCTGGATGCAGAACTCCTCATGATAAGACATTTAGCACTGTGGCTCAACACATGGCACACATCAGATTTATCTGGATACACTGTTTTCTGAAATCATCAAAATAAAAACAAACAATACATGAAATAATTCCTAAATTAAATAGATCATTGCTAGTGTGGAATGTATTATAAATATATATTTAATGAATGCTGTGTTTATTATTGTAAACAGAAATCTAGATGAAAATCTAAGGTATAAAGCCTTCCTGAAAGGTGCAGCCATTCAGTACTCTGGGATCAAACTCTTCATTCCATACAGACACCCTATTGAAATCCTTGAGATTAAATGGGCATAAGTCTGAGTTTAACGTATTGCAGATGTGTATATATAATAAGAACATTGGATGCATTGTACTCAAAAATGCTATTTTACTTATGGTATTTTTTCAGCACTTATGATTACTTGCAATAATAAAAAAGACTATTCCACAAACTGCGCTAAGATCATATGACATAGCGAGCACACTGTCATCTACTTCATGATTTAACATCTGTGACACTTCAGTAATTCACGGTCTTTTGGCGATCCAACATGATATCAACTATGCAAAGTGTCAAACCACTCGGTGCATAGAATTAACTGATTCTAAGGACTAAAGGGCTTTAACCAGCTCTGTTGAAGTCAACAGAAAACCTCCTGTGTTGACTTGTAGGGGAAACTGAGTAAGGCCCATATTTAATTTGTTTTGACGTAAAAGAGAAGACAACATGTGGTTCAGACATTCAGCTTGCCTGCATGACCAGTTCACTGGCAGTATGACCCACTGAGCTTGAAGAGTTTCTTACCGGTTTTTCAACTGTTCATCTCGAGGAGGAGGTAAGAGGAGCTGCTGTGCCACAAGGCTGGAGCAGCACTACCTTTCTGACATAGTTCTGGCACTGCACATCTCCGTGTTTGCAACTCCCAATTGAAGGATTTTATCATTAGGGCCTGCTTTCATGGACTGTAAATTTTCAGCATAGAAACACTAACACCTCAGCCAGATTGTCCAACCAGTTGATACCATC